AGTGAGTAAGCACAAGCCCGCCTTGTTTCAGTACCTATGCTTAAACTGCCCCCTGGCTGAACACTCTTCTCTTTGGCTTCCTGGGTAGAAACACAGAAATTCATTCATAGTAACAAAGCCTGTTTGATTATAGTTAACTAAACATTTTATATCTTCTTTGAACACAGGCCTCTTTTTTTTTTTTCATGTGATATATATATATATATATATATATATTAGCAGTACATGGACTTAATATTTTGAGGGACATGAATTTTAAAATGTTATTTTAAGATTATAGAGTTGGAGCAAGAGTAGGACTATGTGAAATTTAATATCCCTTTCAGGCCTATGATTCACTGGAAGTTATCATAAGCACAATTTTATGATTGAGAATATAGTATACTTCAAATGCTAATATATTGCTTTGAGGAGGAAACTAACTGAATCAAAAGTTTTTCAGGAAATGAAAAATACAGTAGTACCTTAGAATTGTTTCTTATGCAAAAAATATTTCTTTGGAAAGGGGCCAATTATTTCCTCTACTGATTTTATACTCCATCAATTCACAGAACCGTGGAGTTGTATCAAAGGCAAGGAGAAAGTGAACTTGTTGGGTTTAGCTGAGTGATAGCTCCTAAGAATCATTGCATCTGTACTTTGATTTATCTTGGGAGGAGTGAAGAGTGAAGAGTTCATAGGGATTCATGACTGAAATGTTGAATTCCTGCTTTCAAACAATGTCAGCTTGATCCACAACTAACCAATGACACATTGTTCCATTTTATACATTTTTGTTTCTTTTCTTTGGGATTCACTTAGATAATTTTATTAAACATCTTTCTCTCTCTTATAATTATTAAGTAGCCATTGTTTTCAGCAAAATTTTATGTTCCTGATACTCCTCAGAGCTCAAAGCTGTTGGATGTTCCTCCTCCCCCTTTGGTTATCTTGTCCTGGGCCACTGAAAGTGACTGGAGCTTACATTATTGGTCAATGAACCCACTGTGATGGGTAAAAGAAATTTATTCATTTCACTTTTTGAACTTACAATTTTTCATTTTCTCATGCCACACAAACTACTTGTGGACTCAGCTCCTGGTCAGGCAGGGGAGGGTGGAGTTTGTTTAGAATTCCAGATAATTATTTATTTTATTTCTCTATGTTCTTCTCTCTCAAAAACAGCAATAATAATGCTGTATCTCTTAAGCTTGTATCATATTTTCAAAGCAGGGCTTTGAACCAGTACATTCTGGTTCAATCTGTTGCTGAGAATTTGCATTTCCATCCTAAATATATTGAATCAGAATCTACATTTTACAAGATCCCCAAGTGATTTTCATAGATCTTGTTTACATGTAGATTCTAATTCATTGTATCTGGGGTAGAAACACAAATTCTTTGTAGGGAGCTGAACTGAAATGAACTGGTTCAAAACCCCATTTCAAAGACATTTTCTCATTGATCCTCTAAAAACCTCTTGATTACAGCTGAAAAAATTGAGACTCAGATGGGTTTTCCCCAAATTACACCATCTTATACTATTCCCTCCTTAATAAACTACAACCAGTTGTGTTGACAAAGTCTGTTGAAGACTAATAACTAACAAGTGGCAGGAATAAAGTCAAGTTGCTCACCTAGTTTCCTGGAAGGGAAGAAAAAGGGAGAAGGGAACTAAATGAGAAAGCAAGAGAGCAAGAAGCCAGTGACATGGGCTTAGGTATGACAAGACAGGGCCCTAGTCTTTGTCTTTAGTAGATGCCCCCAGGCAGTGTGTTCTGGGCTCTGCCTACAATTAACAAGGACTGCTTCCGGGTGGTGACTGCATGAGGAAAGGCAGGTAGGAGCAGAGTCGGCAGAGTCTAATGTGAGAAATGGTGGCTAAAAATTTACCACCACCCCATATCTGAATCAAAGACTTGCATCAGAGCACCACCACAACTACCACCAAATTATCTATGCAGCTCTTCTTATTATGTGCAATTTTGATCCATTTTTTTTTTTAACAAATAAGGAAAAATTTTTAACCCCCAACATAAGTTTATTATTAGTTGTTTTAAACTTTATTGATGATTTTACTCTATTTCTTTGGTAAATTGTGTTACTCTGGAAGAATAGATGACTTTTGTTTGAATTGACAAGTAGCTATTTTATAACGGGATGTTATAAAAAAATTATTTAAATAGACTCTAGAAATCACAAAATGTAAAAATCTAAAACACTCTGCAAATAGTTACTATTTACTGTATAAGTTAAGGAAATGAACTTTAAAATGTGAATTAAAACTCACAAAGCTGTTGGCTCATTATAATTGTCTTAAGCAGAAAAGTAAATAAAAACTAAGATGGTAATTCCTTTTTCTTTTTTACTTATTCATTTATTTATTAACAAATGTTTGACTACTAGTGTTAGGCAGGTGGTGTAGTGCCTAAGGAATTTGACTTCTAACCAGAAGCCTGACGGTTCAAACCCACCAGCCACTCCTCGGAAGAAAGATTGGGCAATCTACTTCTGTAGTGATACTAGTAGCCTCTGAAACCCAAGAAGGCGTCACTATGAGTTGGATGCAACTTGATGGCAGTGGGTTTGATTTTTGGTGGGTTTGCCAAGCAGAGGAGGTTGAGTGGTGAGTACTGTCCTCACAGTGGAATAGGCAGACATTAGTGGTCCTGAACATATTATAAGATGTGGTTAACACTCTGAAGAAATCTTAGAGAGTCTGTGAGAGAATGACTTCAGAATGGAATGATGTAGACACCCCTCTGTCTCCAGGACCATCAGTGGTAGAGGGCAACATTTGCTTTTGTCTTGACTTCTGCAATATTGCAGTAGCCTACTGAATTTTCTTTCCCATATACTTCCCAACATCCACTCTACTGTTTACAACTCATTCAGCACTTTTTTTTTTTTTTACTTTTTAACAAACACACACCTGATCATATCACCTCTGATTTCTCCCTCATCCTTTGAAAATCCTTTCATTTTATATCCTTGTTCTTTTAATGAATCTAGTACTTACGTGGTCATACAAAATCCTTACGTGATGTAGCCCCCAGCTAACTCTCTGACCCAACCCCTACTTACCACATGAGGCCCATGTTTGCTCTTGAAAGTGAAGTTCCCACTCCAGGTCCTTACACTTTTGTTCTTCTCTCTGGAGCAATCTTCCTTTAGTTATCTGCATAACTAATTTCTTCACTTCATTCCATTTTCTGCTCCAATATTTCTTTCACAGATATTTTGGCTAACCATCCTTCTCATTATTCCTGCAGCTGTTTCAGTTTTCTTCCTAGAACTTAGTACTATTTGACATTATATTATATATTTCTTTTTAAATTGATTTATTTTATGTATCTTCTCTATTAGAAGGTAGAATCCTTAACAATAGTGTCCTTTTCTATTTGTTCTATTCATGTACTGCAGTTTCTATAATATAGCTTGCACCTTTGATGTGTCCAGTGATGATAAAATAATTAATAGTTGGATTTAGAGCTCAGAGAGTATGGAGTGAGAAGACAGCCCAGGATTGGCTGGAATGTCCATATTTAAAGAATAGTTAAGGAAAAAAGGAGGAGACTAAGAAGTTGCCAGAGCAGTTGGTGGAAAGCCAAGAATTGCTCAAGAAACTAAAGAAAGGATTGTTGTTGTTGTTGTTATGTGCCGTCGAGTCAGCCCCGACTCATAGCGACCCCTCCTTGGGTTTCTGAGGCAGTATCACTATGGAAGTAGGATTGCCCAACCTTCCTTCCGAGGAGTGGCTGGTGGGTTTGAACCACCAGAAAGAAAGGATTAGAAAGAGGGAAATAATCAGTGTTGTCCAATACAGCTGAGAAGTGAAGAAGGATTATGACTGAAAAATTCTCAGTGAATTTAGAGGCATGAATGTCATTCAAGTCCTAGGGAAGTGTCTTTTCAAATATGTGTTACAAACAGAAACCAAGTTAGATTGCACTGAAACATGAATGTGTGGGGGAAAAGAAAACTGAGATTTTCATTTGCCATACTTTCACATGTTTTATAGATCTATGATCAGCTGAGGTAATTAATTGAAAATCCAAATTATCCCAGTTAAGTGGGAGAAAGGTGTTTTCTTCCTTTTACCTACTCCTGCCTATGACACATTACCAAGAGGATTTGGACAGGGCTATGAGCTTTGGTGGCATAGTGGGTAAGGCATTTGGCTGCTAACCAGAAGGTCAGAGGTTCAAACCCTTTAGCTGCTCCATGGGAGCAGTGAGGTTGGGGGTTGAATGTTTTTTTAGTTTTCTTTTATAGCTACTTCAGGGACCTTGACCATTTATGTTCCTTCCAGTATCTCCTGCATGAGTTTGTATATCTGTAGTATCTGGACACTAATATACCCATCCTGCCTAACTCATGGTGCTGTTGAAATGGCCAAATTAGATATTATTTCTGAAAGTGCTTTGCCACTTGTAAGAAAATTATTAAATAACATATACAAATATAGTATTTGTGATGAGGATGACTATGAGTCAAATAATTTTGCTTACCCTAGGATGCTGACTGAAATTGTGCCCTTACAGATTTTTGAACAACATTGGCTTCTTTTTCCCACTGATAATGATGCTGACCTGGATGATGTCTGTGTCAAGTATGGCTCGAAAGCTGGTTTATGAGCGAGAGATCCAGATTGAAGAGGTAAATAGCCTTAAACCTTGCCCTGAAATTGAGGAAGGGTAACCTGGGAACTTGGAAATGAATCCTGTCTCCTAACTGACTAATGCCTTTCTATGTTGCTTTATCTCCCCTCTGCTGGGACTCTGGTGTATGGTCCTGCTGAGCTGCCAACCCAGGAAAAATATTTTATTTTATTGTTATTTCTAAATAATTTATTTTTATTGTTATTGAGAATATACACAACAAAGAGATACAACAATTCATGTTTCTACATTTACAATTCAGTGACATTGATTATATACTTAATTGTGCAACCATTCTTATTCTTCTTTTCTGAGCTCTTGCTCCCCTATTAACATAAGCTCACTGTCTCTTATGTTTCCTATCTAATCTTTCATGTTGTTATTGTCAATTTTATCCCATACAGATGGAAAATAAAACAACATAAAACTCAAGGCAGATAGTCCTTCTTGTTTTGGTTCTTTAGTGCTGCTATAACAGAAAATATCATAAATGTATGCCTTTAACAAAGAGGGATTTATTATCTTAGAGGTTAGGAGGCTAGAAGTCCCAGTTCATAGTGCCAGCTCTAGGGGCTGGGAGAAGGCCCCTCAATCTTGGGCTTAAGCCCTTCTCTTGCGCCTATCCCACTGAAGCTGGAGGCTTCTCTTAACCCAGGTGGCTGCTGCCTACTGAGGCTGAAAAACTCAAGGTCAACAAGTAAAATGGCATAGTTCCAAGATTATGCAGCACCACAATAGACCACTAGTTCAAGTTTACTAACATTCCCAAGATTGGCAGGCAATGGCAACCTGCTGAATGAAGACTCAGCTACGTGCAGGGTCCAAGTGTGCTAAAAAGCTCCTGATCTTTCTCATGTCTTATTTTATATTGGAAGCAGACCACACACTAAGGCTGTTCACAGTAGAATCCACCATGGAGTTGATTACTAGTTTCATCATGAGTAATAACTGTATGTAGATGCCCAACCACTCAAAACCAGGCTCAACCAAGTTGACACATAACCTTAACTACCACACTAGTTAAGTTAAACCATTGTTTGGTTTAAAGAAGACTTTAGTGGTATATTTCATTTAAGGTTTAAAGATTAACTAGGGCAATTGTTTCATGGGTTCATCTAGCCTCCATGGCTCCAGAAAACATGGATTCCATGAGAATTTAAAATTCTATTCTATATTTTACACTTTTTGAATACCATTCATCTATAGAATTTTGATCAGAATTCTCAGCAATAGTAGCTAGCATCTAGTTTTTCTGGTCTCATGGCAAAAGAGTTAGTTTATGGAGGAAATTAGCCTCACATTCCATGTTGTTGTTGTTAAATGCTGTCGAGTCATTTGAGATTCATAGCAACCCCTTGCACAACTGAACTAAACACTGGCCGGTCTTCTGCCAGCCTCATGATCCTTGATATACCTGAGCTCATCATTGCAGCCACTGGGCCTATTCATCTCATTGAGGGCCTTCCCCTTCTTTGTTGACCCTCCACTTTACCAAGCCTGATATCCTTCTCCAGGGAATGGTTCCTTCTGACAATATGACCAAAGTAGGTGAGATGAGGTCTGGCCATTCTCACTTCCAGGACAGATTTGTTAGTCATTTTAGCAGACCATGGTACTCTTAGCATTCTTCTCCAACACCACAATTCAAAAGCATCAACTCTTCTTCAGTCTTCCTTATCCATTGTCCACCTCTCACATGTATAACAGGTGATTGAAAATACCATGGCTTGGTTAGACACACCTTAGGCTTCAAGGAGATATCTTTGCTCTTCAGCACTTAAAAGAGGTCTTTTGCAGCTGATTTACGCAATGCAATACATTGTCTGAAATCTTGACTGCTACTTCCATTGGTCTTGATTGTAGAACCAAGTAATATGAAGTCCTTGACAACTTCAGTCTTTTCTCAATTTATTGTGAAGCTGTTTATTGGACCAGTTGTGAGGATTTTTGTTTTCTTGTGAGGTGTAATCCATATTGCAGACTGTAGTCTTTAATCTTCATCACTAAGTGCTTCAATCATCCTCACTTTCAGCAAGCAAAGTTGTATCATCTGCATATTACAGGTTGTTCGTGAGTCTTCCTCCAATCCTGGTACCTTGTTCTTCTTCATATAATCCAGCTTCTCAGATTATTTGCTCAGCATGTTGTTGTTGTTATGTGTTATCACAGCAGAATGAAACACTGCCTGGTCCTGTGCTAGCCTCACTATCCCTACTATACCTGAACCTATCACTGCAGCCACTGTGTCTATCCATCTCATTTAGGATATTTCCCTCTTTCATTGACCCTCCACTTTACCAAGCATGATATCCTTCTCCAGAGAATGATCCCTTCTGCAAACATGACCAAAGTAGGTAAGATGAAGTCTGGCCATTCTTGCTTCCAAGGAGCATTCCAGTTGCACTTCTTCTAGGACATATTTGTTAGTCCTTTTAGCAGTCCATGGTACTTTCAACATTCTTCTCCAGCACCACAACTCAGAAGCATCAACTCTTCTCTGATCTTCCTTATTCATTGTCCAGCTCTCACATACATATGAGGCAGTTGAAAATACCATGACTTGGGTTAGGTGCATCCTAATCTTCAAGGAGATATATTTGCTCTTCAGCACTTGAAAAAGGTATTTTGCGGAAGACTTGCCCAATGAAATGTGTCTTTTGAAGTCTTGCTCACCATACAAATTGAATAAGTATGATGAAACTATACAACCTTGACGCACTCCATCTTGATTTTGAACCATGCAGTATCCCCTTGTTCAGTTGGAACAGTCTCCTGGTCTATGTACAGGTTCCTCATGAGTACTATCAAGTGTTCTGGAATTCTCATTTTTCTCAATTTTATCCATAATTTGTTATGATACACACAATCGAATCCTTTTGCATAGTCAATAAAACCTAAGTAAACATCTCTCTGGAATTCTTTGCTTTCAGCTAAGATCCTTCTAACATCAGTAATGCTATCCCTCATTCCACACCCTCTTCTGAATCCAGCTTGCATTTCTAGAAGCTCTGTCAATATACTGCTGCAACCGTTTTTGAATTGTCTTCAGTAAGATTTTACTTGCATGTGATATTAATGATATTGTTTGATAATTTCCACATTCTGTGAGATCACCTTTCTTTGGAATGGGTAGAAATATAGATCTCTTCCAATCAGTTGGCCAGTTAGCAGTCTTCCAACTCTCCTGGCATAGCCAAGTGAGTGCCTCCAGTGTGGCATCTGTTTATTGAAACATCTTGATGGGTATTCTGTTGATTCCTGGAGCCCTGTTCTTTGCCAAATCTTTCAGTGCAACTTCGACTTCTTCTTTCAGTACCATTGCCACCTCCTGAAATGGATGAAGATCTCCCAACCTTTTTGGTTAAGTGACTGTGTATTCCTTCCATCTTCTTTTAATGGTTCTTGTATCATTCGATATTTTGCCCATATAATCTTTCAATATTGCAACTCAAGGCTTATTTTTTTTTCCTCATTTCCTTCAGCTTGAGAAATGATGAGCATGTTCTTCCCCTTTGGTTCTCTAACTCCAGGACTTTGCACATTTCACTGTAGTAATTGGCTTTGTCTGCTCGAGCTGCTCTTTGAAGTCTTCTGTTCAGCTCTTTTATCTGGTCATTTCTTCCATTTGCTTTAGCTACTCTCTGTTCAAGGGCAAGTTTCAGAGTCTCTTCTGACATCCATTTTGGTCTTTTCTTCTTTTCTCATCTTTTTAATGACCTCTTGCTCTTTTCATGGATGATGTTCTTGATGTCATCCCATAATTCCTCTGGTTTCCAGTCATTTGTGTTCAAAACATAAAATCTATTCTTTAAATGGTCTCTAAATTCAAGAGGGATGTTATTAAGGTCATATTTTGGCTCTTGTGGCTTCTTTTAATTGTCTTCAACTGCAACTTGAAAATGCATATGACCAGGTGATGGTCTGTTCCACAATCAACTCCTGGCCTTGTTTTGGCTGAAGATATTGGATTTCTCCATTGCCTCTTGCCACAGATGTAGTCAATCTGATTCCTGTGTATTCCATCTGGTGGAGTCCATGTGTGTAGTTACTGCTTATGTTGTTGAAAAAAGGTATTTGCAATGAATAAGTCATTGGTCTTGCAAAATTCTATCATGAGATCTCCAGCATTATTTGTATCTCCAAGGCCATATTTTCCAACCCCCGTGACTCTTCTTTGTTTCCAGCTTTTGCATTTCAGGTGCCAGTGATAATAAACACATCTTGATTGCTTGTTTGGTCAATTTCAGACTGCAGAAGTTGGTAGAAATCTTCAACTTCCTCATCTTTGCCTTTGGTAGTTGGTGTATAAATTTGAATAATAGTAATATTAACTGGTCTTCCTTTTAAGTATATGGAAATTATCCTATCACTGACAGCATTGTACTTCAGGACAGATCTTGAAGCACTCTTTGTGAGAATGAATGCCACACCATTTCTTTTCAACTTGTCATTCCTGGCAAAGCAGAGCATATGGTTATCTAAATCACAATGGCCAAAACCAGCCCATTTCAGCTCACTAATACCTAGGATATTGATCTTTATGTATTCCATTTCAATTTTTATAACTTCCAATTTTCCTACACTCATTCTTTATACATTCTATGTTCTGATTATTAATGGATATCTGCATCTGTTTCAACTCATTTTGAATCATGCCACATGAGCCAGTGGAGGTCCCAAAAGCTTTATTCTATGCATATCATTAAGATCATCTCTACTCTGAGGAGTCAGCTTTTCCCTAGTCAAATTTTGAGTGTCTTCTGACCCAATGGGCTCATCTTCCAGCACTATATTGGACAATGTTTCAGGGATATTCATAAACTTTTCCCGTAATATATCAGACCATGTTTCACTGCTATTCATAAGGTTTTCACTGGCCAATTGTTTGAGAAATTGATGGCCTCTTCCTTCTTCTGAGTCTGTCTTAGCCCAGAAGCTCCCTGAAACCTGCCCACCTTGGGAAACCCTGCTGGCATTTTGCAACAATGTGGCATTGCA